TCCTGTGGGTAATGGGGAGGAAGGGAGATGAAGTGACCCAGGAAATTCAGCCAAAGCAGTGGAGCCATTTCACAAAAAGAAATGGACTTAAGTCATCACTTGGTGGACACACAGCTACAGTCTGAACACTGAGAAAGCTAAACGGTCCCTTATTAAAACAAAGTCAACATCCCTTGGAAAGAGAAAGAAGCAGCCCTGAATACCTTGCGTGAAAGAAAGGACTTCCCCTCATGGGCAGCACATGCAATATTGTTCCCACTTCTGTTCAAACTTAGCATCACAACTGATTTATTACAATACACATCACTGCAAATTTCTGGTATCTGTAATATAAAAAGGGATCAAAATTTCTTTCCAAGTGTTGCCCAAGAGGCTTTTCTCAAGGGCAAAAAAAATCCAAAACTAGAAGTAGCTGCTAAGACACACCCCCCCAATATATTATTCATATGAAACTGAAGTCATTGTAATACGTATCTACATTTCATTCATAACTATCTTGATATTGTGACTTTGGGTTAAAAATGCATAAGCAAGTTAACACCGTGGAGAAACAGCTGTTGGTGTAATGACAGCATTCCCGGAGCTGAAGCCAGATTCGGGGTCAAATCCGGATGCCATCACTTACTAGTACGTGGCCTTGGACAAATCACATAATCAGTCCTGCTGAGCCTCGATTTCTTTATCCACGAATGAATAAAATTCCCCTTACTTCCTGGAGACATTGGGAAGAATAAATGAAACAGCAGATCATGTAAAAGCACACAGCATAACAGCAAAGTTTGTTTTCCATTCTCCCTTCCTCTCCACAAACTAATGAGCGTTTTACCCCCATGGAACTAGACTTTATTGCTTTATAATTATGATGTGCATGTAACAATGTCCAAGAGAGGAGATGGTAAATAACACCAACATGCCAACCTGAACGCACATGTTGTTAGCTTGCTACCAGCTAGATCTCAAAGGGCTCTTACACACTGTCTATTGCTTCCCAGAAATGTGATACATTTTCTTCGGAATACAGCCAAAATCATCCACCGGCTTTGAAATATCACCATCATGATGCTGCACAGAGTAGCTGGTTGATTGAACGTGACTGCCCCTCCCCCACACTCCAGCTGTCACCAGGATCCCACCCCTACGTGTGAAAAAAGACAATGCGATATTGCTACTCCTTTATTAATAACAAGCTAACAAATACTTGGCATTGGAAATTTTTTCTAAAGTTCACTATTAACTAAAAATTAACTCCTTAGGAAAAATCCTTTCCTTTATCGTAGAAACGCAAACCAGCTGCTTTCATACAACAAAAAAACCAAGGGACAGTAAACACAGGGCGTGTATTTCCACTGACTACTTGTTTCTTTTTCCTTGCGTTATCTGTAATGCTAAACAACAGCCAGTTAAAACACAAAATAGCTTTAACCAGGATACAGCTGTCACAGCTTAGAGGGATTTAAGAAAAACAAAACAAAACTTAGATGATTTCTCAAAAAAAATTGCATAGCTTCCTCTCTGTTTTTGTATAATACGAGTCAGATTGAAGGCTGGATTTTTTTTAAAAATAATCACTCAACTTCTCTGCATTAGGAGCTACACATACGTTTGACATGGCTGAACACCCTGGGAGTTGTCTTCAAACTAGCTTGTGAATTCCACTCAGGAATTCCCAACACTCTTTTTCAGGTACAGCTCATCCCCTGAGGGTTTCTACCCTACAGATGAAGGGTCCGACACCCTGTGCCCTGGACTCCGAGGTGCCAGGGACATGCCTTGGAGTGTCACTGCAGGGGGCTGAAGGTGAGCACCAACTGGCAGGGCCTGTGCCCTTTGACCTTTCTTCTCTTAAAGCCTCTCAACTCCTGAGCTTTACAGGTAAGATTCCGCAAACACGGTCCCCTGCTAAAATTATCTGAGGCCCCCTGCCTAGATGACTAGAACTGCAGCAGAAAAGGAAATTGTCTTTTTAAGGCAATCTATCTTTAGAATGGTTTTTTAAAAGAATTTTGACATATACATGCACTTACCTAACTTAACTGTACAGGTTGTCTCCACCCCATATTTTAACTAGTAAACAAAATTATGACCTAGTATGACTCCTTTGAAGTAGTTTCTGGGCTCATATATTCATATGCAATATACACAAAAATACATGAAATTTTTGATCATTTAAAAAATGGAACATAAAACTTATCCCTTTGCTATCATTAAGCATCTGTATCAAAATATAATAATGATTTCAGCGCTAATAGCATTTTCTTATTCTTTGGTGCATGTTTTGAGCGAGGTCTCATCTCCTGTAACACAGTGCCCCCTTCTATAGCTGACTGTCCCGCTTAACTGAAGATAATCCAACAACCCCTGACCTTGACCTTCCAGTAAACACTCAAAACAATGTACAGAAGATGCTGTTACATGATAGAACTGCTGAGAGTTTTAACTTTCTCCAAGTGTTCACTTTCTCTCATTCACAATGACATGAAAGCTTTGACTATTCACTTCAGCATTTTGCTTAAAAAGAAAAGCAGCAAGCAGCACTGTTGGGTAATGACAAAATTATCTTAATTATAAAAATATTACGGGGAAATGAATGAGATCAAGTTAGGTTTGAGGTGATAACCATCTTTTCTCCCCTGTGCAATGTGCACCAGTTGCTGAGTCTAACAGACATGCTTTGTACTTAATTTCATTCCATTTAATGCCCTTGGGTGGTCACACACGGTGTCACCTACTTTACAGAAGAGGAAATTCAGGTTGGGAATGTGTTAACCTGTCTAATGGACAAGATCAGTACATTGCAGAGGCAGGGTTCAAAGCAGGGTCTGCTCCACCCAAAACCATCACTACAGATCTGCCTCTTTGACACAGAGACCAAGAAAAATGTGGCCTTTGAAAAATGAATGCTTCATGATGGGGCAGTGCTAATTTAGTAGCAGTGATAACAAAATTATTTACAGAAGCTGATGTGCAAGCTGACTCATGTTTCTCTGAAAACTCTCTCGCCCATAATAACTTGTCCCAGGTCCTAAGTCTAGGAAACACTCAGGACCAGTGGACGCTAATTAATGTGCTAAGGCCACAGTGTGGCCCTGATTCTTCTCAGCACTGCCATGAGTCTAAGCTTTAGGGCGGCTGCTTCAAGTCCCGAATATTTCTCTTTATCCCCCCAACACTGACCCCCTGAAAAGGGAAGGAAAAAGACGGTGGTCAACCCTGCAATTGACATTCTGTAAAAAAACAGCAGGTGGAGGGCACATCCAACTGAACTCCTGAAGCGCTTCCAGAAAACCGAGGCACGGAGAGTGTTTACGATGAGGCCTTCTTTGCTACTGTGGAGCTGTATGACATACGGGAGAGAAAGATAAGGACAGAAACGTCTTCAAGTCTTGTCTCATTTCCAACTCGCTACTCAATAGTACTCTAAGGCTAAGGCTGATCTCTGGTCAGTAATCCACCCTGCTTTCTTTACCAAATTCTAGGTCAAGAGAAGGTATAATTAAGCTGAAGAGACCAAAAGGCCAAAGATTTTTTTTTAAAAAAACCACTCTTTTAACACAATTACTAATGCGGTTCTTAAAAACACTACAGCATTGTTATTAATTAGTACATATTGCTGTAACTTTTAACTAAATGTCCTATATCCAAAAATCTCAAATGTATACAACTGAGCATCCATAAATAAATAAAATGCACACTAAGCAGAAGGGGCACAATATTCATGCACTACAACTCATATCTAACCCAGGAAAGAATCCTTCCTGCATAACCTATGCCCTTATTTTATGCAGTTCTAACAAGTTACTCAATTATATTTCATCTTTGAGTGCTTTCTATGTGTGTTGATGTTAAATACTTTCCCTGTATTTTCACATTGAATTCTTTCAACCCTGTGAAGTAACCTTTAACTAACTTGCCCCAGGTCCTACACCTAGGAAATGCTTCAACTGAATTCAAATTCTATTCTCACAATGACACAATGGCTGTTCTTTATCACTACGGCCAGTAATTCTCAAACTTCAGCACTCAGGTGCAAGGGGACCAATTGAAAGTCTTGTTAAAACAGATTTCTGATTCATTAAGCCTGGGCTAAGACTCCAAAATTTGCATTTCCAACAAGTTCCCAGGTGATGCTGATGCTGATGCTGATGCTAGTAGTCCTGGACAATTCAGGAACCCAAAGCACTGCTATTTTTCCAAAATTACTTGCTTTCCCAAGCTCTGCCACGCCAGCAGCAAATTAGAAGTTTTTAGGTTTAAAGATTAGTAGAACTAGCAAAAAATGTCATCTAAATGTGAGACATTAGACAGATTTTTAAGAAGCAATTCCAAAGGACTGAAAAAAAAGCAGCAAAGTGTAGCTGTCAGAGTGAACTACCCATTTCGATGACTAAATCATGACTATGCAATAATTTATTTTGATAGCAACGCTTAGCTTCTGCTCCATTTGGAAAAACATTATTTGTGCATGTGATCCGTTTTTGGAGAGATTTTTTTTAAGGCCTGGATACAAAAGGGTTAAATACCCTTAGTGTATTTCCTGTTCCCTATTAAGAGAAGTATCACTACTTAGGTTAAGACTGTTTTCCACACACTTGAGGGAAAGTTACTCTTTCAAGAGAAACCGAAAGTGCAAGCTGTTGGTGATGCAACGTCGCTTCAAACTCCCTGCCTTCAAAAGGAATCCTTCAAACCCCCCCCCCCAGAGCCAGCCCCATCCTCCGAGCTTCTCCCTGTGCAGTCGACCTCAAGCAGAGACGGGGATGAAGACGATGGAACCCCCATAAAGTCGCTCCGGGAAACCCAGTCCCGGTTCTCCGACCGGACGAGATTCCCAGGATGCGGAGGCTGCGCCTCTAACCCCGCCCCGCCCCGGCCCCTGGGAGGGGCCCACCGCCGCCCCGCAGCCCCCGCCCCGCCGCTGGCGCCCGCGGCCCAGAGAAAAGGCCACAGACGCGGCTCAGAACGGACAACGGGAGCGGCGCCGAGCAGACGCGGAAACTCACGCTCTCTACGGCCCGCCTGCGTCCGTCCCCACGTCTTCGCAACCACGTGCGTCATCACGCACGGGCGCCCGCTCCCGGACGCTCCAGATCCCGAGGGGCGGGGAGAGCGTGTGATCCGCTTCGCGACGCGGCTGGCGTGGCCCCAGGTCGGGGCGGGGAGGGGGGGGTGCCGTAAAGCGGGGTGGCGGGCAGCGGCGCATGCTCAGTTGCGCGCGCCCGCGCTCTTTTTCTCGCTGGCTGGGGGTGGGTTAAAGACCGCGTGCGGTGGCGGTGGCTCGAAGGAGGCTCCGGGGACGCGACGGGGAAAGGACTGCGGCCGAGCGCGGTGTGGAGGGCTTGTGTCTTCGTCTCGTCCTCCAGGCTCTAAGTGACACGTAGCTAATAATAACAACACCTTTTTGCCTTAAGCTGGCCGCCCACCACCCGTAAACCTGCCTTCGAGGGGTTGCAGGTGGGGTGGAGAAGCGGCCAGTGGGCCCCGTCGCGGCTGAGAAACTTCTTTCCGGGCCCCAGCAGCGCCCCAGGCTCGTGGTCCGCGGCGTGGAGGAGTCATGTACTCTCTGTGAAGCGGATGGCGGGGGATACAGAAATCTTCATGAGTTATCAGATGGCAGGAGAGCTCCCCATCGCCGACCTCGGCCGAACCCGCGGTTACAAAGCAGGCCAGCAAAACAAGGTCGTGCTTTTCCCTCCCCAGAGCTTAGGTCTGAGGTTGCGTTTCTTTGTTTGCCCATTTAAGGACTTTAGGTGTTAAGTGTTTCGGTTAATGTGTCATTTGATGCAATTTTAATTATGGGTTTTGCTTCTGCTCTGGAACAAGTTTTACGTTCGGTTATAGGAGTCAGGTTAAGTTAAATGCTGTATTTATTTCATACAATATGAGAAAACTGTCTTACATGGTACGGAATTTTCTCATAACTAAGGGGATAAATATGCCTTATCCAACGAAGAAACCAAATGCAGGTGGTTTTATGCTGCTCTGTATTTATCAGAAGTTGTGGCAGCTGTGTTTAGATTACTTAAAAACGGCCTGAATCAGAAGAGTTTTGGTTTTCTTTTGTTACTGTGTAGTGCGAGAATTCTTCATGGAAATGGCTACTTTGAAGTTTGAAACTTAAGTGAAGATTTGGCTCACGTGCAGGGTATGTAACAGACTTTCAAGTGATAAAGAAGAATCTTAGCAATTTTCAAGTATGTTCCCTGAGCCTTACAAGTTTTCGCTTTCTTTTAGAAACAATATGCTGATCAGAAAGTTGGCTGATGATGAGAAACGGCATTTCTGGAAATAGAAAGTAAACTGAAGGGTGGAAGGGTGGAGGTGAATTGCCAATAGAAGTGTTTTATACATTCCCTAGAAAAAAAAGTGATTTCTCAAAAAGAGGGGGTTCCCTTTTATCCTGATCCATGATCATATGCATCAGCTTAATTAACGTTAACCCTTATCTTCCATTCTCTAATACCATTTACACCTTTCTATAAGTGCATCATTTTTCTTGTCCTTATCTTAATATATAAAATACAGAGATGGTTTTAAGGGAGACACAAATCAAGAAATCTCAATACAGTAATCTCATAAAAATGTCATTTTATATTTAGAGATTAAGAATATAGTTAGGCAGTTACATTCAATTTCAGATATCATCAGTGAAATCTTTCATAACCATTTATGAGGACAGAAAAACCTAGCTTTTAAAAAATGACCTTTTTTGTCCTGTATGATTCATTGAGCAGACAGGAATTTTTTTTTTAAGCCTATTGAAATCAACATTGAAATTGATAAACATGACTTGGATGATAATTGTATATCTTAAACATTAACATATGTGACAGTCAGCAGGATCCTTTCACTGAGGCAAGGCTTTAAAATACCAAAGAATCAATGCCGTAAGAAGTACTTTCACAAAAAAAGTTATGCAATTATTAAATTACCTTGTAAGATAATTTCTAAAGGCTCAAAAGTATTCATGTATCTTAATTGTGAGAAAAAGCAGCATTATGCACACTATATATAATATTTGAAACCTATGTAATGCCCTGGATAATTTTTTATTTTATCAAAAATGTGTAGGAGAGCAGCAATACCTGAAATTAAGCCATCTGATTTAAACAAGTGTTCTGCAGATGAAAAGTTGTGGTAACAACCTTCGTACAGTTCATGAATCTAGGATTACAACTGGCAGGAAGGCAGATTAGTTTTATTCTCAGTTTTTAAACCTGGATTGAAGGTGAGAAAACATCAGACAACACCACCATGAGCAGATAACACAACTGGATTGTTTTTTTAAAGCGCTTGCTTGTTATCTAATTGGTTTTAATGGATTAAGTATTTTATTATACCCATCACAGAAAGATGTATGAAACTCAGCAAAGAATTTATACCTTTACTGTTATGAAAAAGCTTGCAAATTAATTCAAGAACAACTTGAGAACTATAAAAATAGAAAATTGCATCATGTATTATGATGCTAAAAAGACTAACAGTGACAGACCATGCAAAAGGCAACCATGTGAGATTTGCAGTGACTGTAATGATGTGAGACAAAGTAGACTTTAAGACAAATATTTCTAGAAACAGTCATTGCATAAGAGGGTCAATACATCAAGAAGATACAACCATTAGAAATGTATGTGCACTGGAAACAGTCCTAAGTACATGAAGCAAAAGTTGTTAGATGTGAATGTAGAAATAGACAATAATAAATTGGTATTTTAATTGTACCATACTCTC